TTCCTGTGTGCTGGTGTGGCGGGGATGCTTCTCTCTGGCTCTCCAGTTCCATTTTTCTTTCCCCTCAGATTTTTGACCCGCCGGAGGAGCTGGAGAGGAAAGTGCGGGCGTTAGCAGACTTGATAAGGGGTTCTTCCAATGTAGTGTTTCACACCGGAGCTGGGATCAGTACGGCTTCCGGAATCCCTGACTTCAGGTAAGGGCACTTCCTGAAGAAATCTGTAATCACTGAGCAGTGTGGGCTAGTGGTCAGAGCAACGTGCTGCGTTAGAACTTGGGGGCTCTATTCCTGGCTCGGCCACTGACTCACCATAGGCAAGTCAGTTTGCCGTTCAGTGCCTCAGTTTCCCTATGAAAATGTGTCTGGTTTACAGGAGTTTGGCAAAAGGTTAATGTTTATAAAGTGCTTGGAGATCCTTGGCGGACAGATGCTGTCGGCGTGCAAGTGTTATTTTACTGGGTTAGTGATGGTATTTGTGGTATTTATAGTGACAATATTTCATTAATGAGAAACGAATAGTTGTCTTATGGTTCCATCCCTGATACTTGGCCAGTTAGCCTGTGTGTTAAGTGCTGTAGGGAAAATAGTCCATTTCTTTAGTGCCTTGTAGCTGTTACTTTTGGAAAACTCCCTTTTTTCTGACCCTCTGATAAATGGAGGTGAGAGGTTTCCTCTCCTTTCTGTCTATAGTCTCTGCTCTACTTCGCTCCCAAAGTCCAAACTCGCTATTCAGTGGCCAAAGTGGGCTCTGATGAGACACTAAAGTCAGTGAGATGATTCTCCGAGGCTAACACCCACACCTAACTTTCATCAACCCAAGCAGTGACAGTACTTGGTATCTGGTGTCCTCTTTGTATAGCTTATTTGTGCGTGCTGGTTCATAGTGTAACCATAGGGGAAAGGGAAAAATGAGGAAGCTAGTTGAATGGAAATGAAAAGGTGAAATGCCTTCAAACTGCATGGAGACTATTTAAAAACACCATAATAGAGGCGCAAATTAATGTATAACCCAAATGGAAAAAAAACAAAACACCGAGGACTAAAAAAATACCACCGTGGCTAAACAGCAGAGTAAAAGAGGCAGTTAGAATGCAAACAGGCATCCTTTCAGAATTAGAAGTCAAACCCTACTGAGGAAAACAGAAAGGAGCATAAACTCTGGCAAGTCATGTGTAAACGTATAATTAGGCAGGCCAAGAAAGAATTTGAAGAGCAACTAGCAAAAGACACAAAAACTAACAGCAATTTTTTTTTTTAATACATCAGAAGCAGTGGGGCCATTGGGCGATGGAGGTGCTAAAGGAGCACTCAAGGAAGACAAGGTTGCTACGGAGACGCTAAATGAAGTTTTTGCATCGGTTTTCACTGCAGAGGATGAGGGGGAGATCCCCACACCCAAACTATTCTTTTTTGGCAACATATCTGAGGAACTGTCCCAGACTGAGGTGTCAGTAGAGGAGGTTTTGGAACAAATTGATAAATTTAAATAGTAATAAGTCACTAGGACTAGATGGGATTCACCCGAGAGTTCTGAAGGAACTCAGATATGAAACTGCAGAGCTACTAATGTGGTATGTGACCTATCGCTTAAATCAGCCGCTGTGTCACATGACTGGGAGGGTAGTTAATGTAATGCTAATTTTTAAAACAGGCTCCAGAAGTGATCCTTGCAATTACAGGCTGGTAAGCCTAACTTCAGTACTAGCTAAATTGGTTGACGTTATTATAAAGAGCAGAATTATCGGATACCTAGATGAACACGATATGTTGGGGACGAATCAACATTGCTTTTATAAAGGGAAATCATGCCTCACAAGGCTTTTAGAATTCTTTGTGGGTGTCAACCATGTGGACAAGGGCGATCCAGTCGATATAGTGTCCTTGGACTTTCAGAAAACCTTTGACGTGGTCCCTCACCAAAGGCTCTTAAGCAAAATAGGCATTCATGAGATAAAAGGGAAGGTCCTCTCTTGGATCAGTAACTGATTAAAAGATAGGATACAAAAGGTAGGAATAAATTGTCTGTTTTCACAGTGGAGAGAGCTAAATAGTGGCTAAATAGGGATCTGTACTGGGGACCTGTGCTGTTCAACATATTCATAAATGATCTAGAAAAAAGGGTAAACACCTAGGTGGCAAAATTTGCAGTTGATTCAAAATTTCTCAAGATAGTCAAGTCCAAAGCTGACTGCAAAGAATTAAAAAAGGGATCTCACAAAACTGGCTGCCTGGGTGACAAAATGGCCAATGAAATTCAGTGGTGATAAATGCAAAGTAATGCACATTGAAAACATAATCCCAAATATATATACGTAATGATGGGGTCTAAATTAACTGTAACTGCTCAAAAATGAGATCTTAGCGTCGTCACGGGTAGTTCCCTCCAAACATCTGCTCAGTGTGCTGTGGCAGTCAAAAAGGTAATAGAATGTTAGGAACCATTAGGAAAGAGATAGATAGGACAGAAAATATCATAATGTGACTATATAAGACCATGGTACACTCGCACCTAGAATACTGGTTCTGGTTGCCCCATCTGGAAAAAAAAAAAAGAATTGAGAAAGGACAGAGAAGGGCAAAAAAAATGATTAGGGGTATGGAACAGCTTCCGTATGAGGAGAGATTAAAAATGACTAAGGGGGGGTATGATAGAGATCTATAAAAATCATGAAAGCTGTGGAGAAAGTGAATAGGGAAGTGTTAGTTACCCCTTCACATAACACAAGAACTAGGGGTCACCCAATGAAATGATTAGGCAGCAGGTTTAAAACAAACAAAAGGAAGTACTTCTTTATACCATACACAGTCAACCTGTGGAACTCCTTGCTGGGGATGTTGTGAAGACCACAAGTGTAACTGGGTTCAAAAAAGAACTAAAGTTCATAGAGGGTAGGTCAGTCAATGGCTATTAGCCAAAGGTGGTCAGAGACGCAACCCCATGCTCCAGGAATCCCTAAACGTCCAACTGCCAGAAGGTGGGAGTGGACAGACATGGGATGGATCACTCGAAATTGCCCTGTTGCGTGTGTTCCCTCAGACATACCTAATGCTGATCCCTGAGAGACACCGTGTACTGGACTAGATGGACTATCTATAAGTCAGGGCTTTGAGTCAGTTACGTTTAGCACTCTTGAGTCCGTTTTCCAGGCCCACCTGTTCCCCTTAAACAGCAGGTGGCGCTGTTTCTCTGCAGACCTGTCTGAGCCGCCCCGGAAGCAGGGTATGCGCATTGGCTCCCTGGGCAGTGCAATTCCTGTTATGCTTTTGGCTGCAAACTTTGGTTTTTGGCA